GTTCCCTCTTCAAGGCTGTTCCCTCTTCAAGGCTGTTCCCTCTTCAAGGCTGTTCCCTCTTCAAAGCTGTTCCCTCTTCAAGGATCACCACAGTGAGACATCCACTTCAACTCACCGTCGTCAGTCCAACTACTTCCAGTCCTCTCTGACTGCATATCTTCTTTTTGGCTTTCGTGTTTGTCTTTTTCCTGACAGCTATATTTCTAACATCCTTCTACCAGTAGGATCACTGTCCCTCCTCTGGACATGTTCAAACCACTGTTCCTCCTCTGGACATGTCCAACAATCTTAGTGTGTCCTCTCTAACTTTATCCCCCAGTCGTTCAACCTGTGCTGTACCTCTGATGATCTCATTCCTAATCTTCTCCATCCTTGTCTCTCCCATAAGGAGAACATCAACATCTTTAGCTTTGCCACTTCATGATCTTTGTCCTTTTTGTCAATGCCCCTGTCTGCCACTGTCTACCTGCACATGAGGGATTTTCAGCACCATGTAGCCACATTTGGACTGCATCCCACAACACTAGTGACAGTCATGGCAGAGCGCGTTATGGTGCTGCTACATCGATGTCACCCAGCTTTCCTGGTGAAGGGGGTGTCTGAGTTCCTCCCTGTCATGGAAGGTGGTCACAACAACTGCAAATCTGTTATGTTGGGGAGGAATTCACGAGGGCCAGTAAGCAAATGGTTTCAGAAGCTGAGACCTCCAGCAGTTTCACATAAACTTTCTGGAGCTTTTGGTGGCGTTTCTAACTCTGAAGCGCTTCGTCACGTTCCTCAGTGGACATCATGTCCTTGTGAAGATCAACAACATGATTATGGTACCTTATATTAACCATCAAAGCAGTTGAATACCCTGTGGTTACGCACTGTGACACGCAAATGATCATAAAAGGCAGCGGGCAACTCCTGTTGCTCAGAGCCACACAAGTTCATGAAGCTTTCAACCATGGAGCCAATATCCTGTCAAGCAGCACCGCTGTACAGAAACTGGGCTCGTAGAAACTGAGACAGTAGCAGCTCAGCTCAGACCTACTAAAGGCAAGTAACCAAGGGGAAACTCCGTAGACTGTACTTATGATCCTAGATCAGGGCTATTCAACTGGCAGCCCGTGGGCCACTCCCGGCCTGCGGGTGGCTTCAGTCTGGTCCACCGAAGTTCATTTTTTTAATTCTGGGTTTGGGTTCTGTTTATTGCATGCATGATTTAATTCAATAAAATAAACACATTTAAAAGGAAACAGATCATTGTAATACTTGGTTTATTTACATAATGACTGGATGTCCGGCCCTTGAGCTGCTGGCTTTCAGAGACTGTGGCCCCCTGAGCATTTTTGTTGAATAGCCCTGTCCTAGATGATACTACTGTATAAGATAGATATGTAGGTATTTGGGATACTCAAAGTGCTTTATGATAATCTGTACACCCCATTTACCCACACACACATTAATCTACAAAGTTAATCTGAGTAAATCATTCTATAGAGACTAATCAGTGCTGTAGATCACATTCATATCACAGCCGTACTCTAAAGGGACACACGTCGGTGTCTTGCTCAGCGACAATTCAGCATGTGGCTGTAAACTGCAGCCTTCTCAATAACTTTTAGAGTAGGAGGCCAGCGGCTCAGAGCAGGAGGCTGGAGTCATTTCCAACATCAACTCAGATGTTCTGTTGGTGAAATGTTGGTGAAGACAGACGGTTTGAACTCTGATCACTGATGAGAATGTCTCACCAGCATCACACGCATGGAAAGAGTTATGAAGTCATAATCTGCAGCAGCTGTCAATCAATTTGTTGAGTGAGATAACACATTTACAAGAATCTATTAAAGAATAATTTCACAATGAATTTATCTTTATTCTTTATCTTGCAGCAGTCCCAGCTGAATGCATGCAGCTCAAAAACTTCACTTTGTTTTCTGTAACTACAAAGATCATGAAATCTGATCCACGTCAAAGTACAAGTGCTTTATGTTGTCATCATTGTAAGTTCCCAGACACTGACACTGATTCTCTGCATTTAACCCATCGCACATGGGACACACCCAGTGGGCAGCTATGTAAACGCCGAGGAGCAATTAAGGATTGGGTGTCTTGCTCAGAGACACCACGACATGTGGGAATGGCTGGGAGTCGAACCGCAACTTCTGGTCCCAAGTCAGCTGCCCTGCCTCTCCCCCATCTCAGCCTCAAAAGCATCACCAAAGTATTTAAATAGTATTTTTAAATATTTTTCTACAAAAAAAAAACTAGTCATCCTTTTAGAGCTGTGTCAGCCTGAAATAAAACAATCTAATTTATTTATTCATTTATTTTTAACGCTTCAAGTTTTTTTTTTTTTTAACTCTACAATAGCTTTTTATTTTTTTAATTGACAAAATATTTTACGGTAAGTAAAATCATTATTATGCTCTGTGGGTCAACATCCACATCCTCCTCTGTTCTCCAGCGCTCAGAACTGATGCTTGGTTCTGTTGGTCCAGTCAGAGCGGGTCTGGACCCCCTCCTCTGCAGAGTCAGACCTCATGGAGGGGCTCAGTGCTCTCTTCCTCTTCTAAAACAAATCATGATCACCCTCTTCATCAACAAAGTCCTCACTAACAGATTCGGACAGTTTTTCTTCTTCATGATGCTCTCCTCTGTCTGAGAGGTTCTGACTCCGGTTCCGTCCTCCTCTGGGTCTGCAGCTCCGTCTTCTCACGTTCAAAAATTGTCTCGTTGTTTTGACTCTAAACTACACCCTAACTATAAAACCCAAACAAGCTAAACATCACAAATCTCTCAGACCTCATGACTCCCTCCAGCTCTCTCTGTCTTTATCTCTCCAAACTTTATTTAACTTTTGCGTCATTTTCTTCTTCCTGTAGATTTTTTGACAAATAACTTGGAGCCCCCATCAGAAAGGAGGGGGGAGGTTGTTCATCTGTTTGGTGGGGTGGGAGGTGAAGGTGGAGGGTGATGGGGTGTTTTGTCCATGAGACTGCCCGTCGTTGCCACAAACTCTCGCTCTAACGTTTCAGATATGACGATGATTTTCAGAGAAACGTGTGGAGTGGATTATTGATCATAACTCTGATTTTACTTGACCTATCAACATGATTTAAAAACGGCCTGAAATCTGTACTTTTGACAAATTAAAATTTAGTCTCTGAGACGCTGCCTTTCCTGCAAGAGCAACTGAAATCGGTCATGTGACTATCATGCACCGGCACGTCCACTGACTGCAAAGGGGTGGGGATATCAGTCAGAATAGATGCTGCCAGACACTTGAGTAATCACTCGCTGCCTGTTATTGAGAAAATAGTAGTGGTGCTTAATCCCCCATCCTATTGGAGGACAACTGCTGCAACCACTCAGCCACAGCTGTACATGTTTAAGGACCTCTCTGACCTCCCATTTAAACCTCTGAGGGAGGCCAACCTTAAAAAACGATCCTTTAAGACAGTGCTGCTGTTGGACCTGGCATCTGCTGACAGTGATGGTGATGTGCATGCACCTCATACTGGGAAGCCCATCACAGAGCAGCGGCTCTCCCACTGCACTGTGGGAACAATCACTCGGGACTGCACAAGCCAGTTCAGGTGCCAGTGGACTGCATGCCCACCCTGCTCATGGCCTGGATGTGTACCATGCCCTTTTAAAGGGTCTTTATTCAGAGTGTGCCGAGTTGATCCTCACTGCTCTCTTTTGATCCGTTTTATGGACGACTCTGTTCCAAGTGTGGCCTCCGTTGTGTTAAACTGTGGGCCTTCGCTGGAACGACGGGGCCACCTTTTGAACGCCGACAGTTTATAGTTGTAAACTCTGAATATAAGGAGTCTACAAACAGCATAGTGGGACACAAACAAATGCTATGAAAAAAATGTTAGGTTACTTGGGTAACCCAACTTAACAGAGTTGCATGAGTGAGATGTCTCACCTGAAAATCTTTCTTGCTGAGGCGAAGCGAGAAGAGGTTCTAATTTTGAATGATGCTGCGCTGTAGAGAAAGCTGCTTGGAGAGTTGGTGAAGCAGGGGTCGCAATTACCAATCAAGATTGGGGTAATGACGTAAATGCCCCTGAGGAATACTCAGTGGGGTACATCCTATAGTGGGACATCTCACTCATGCTACTATGAGAACTAGCATTATGCAACATAAAGAACTACTGTGTTTGTGGAGGTTCAAATATTAAATCAAATTACACAACGTGCTCCACCCACCTGCACTGAGGCCACCAGATCTCTGGGAAACTTTCCTGGGTACAACTGGGTGGCATAGCTCTGCTTAGATGGAAAAAAGGAGCATTTGGGAACATTCAGAGAAATTGCAGGACAAACGTGACAGCTCTCCTTCACACAATATAGATGCTGTTCATGCAAGTCTAAAATTAAATAATCACACTATGCTTATAATGAAAATTGATGTGGGAAGACCCAGAAACTGTTTAACCAAGAAACATTCTCGAACAAACTAATCACATACAGCATCTAAACAAAGTATGGAACTACTTTATACATTTATTTTACCAGCACAACGGTTAGTGAGCTACCTGTCTTTGTTGTAATGTTCTCTGTCATTTCTTTGATGGTCTTCAGAAGCAGCCTGGAGCTGGAGATGGTTGGCATGCCCCCTTGTCTGCGCTGGTTCCTCTGCTGCTGTTGCTTCAAGGCCTGAAGAGCAAAACGGAAGGAACCAGATGTTGGTGCCGTAAGAAAACGAAAAGGTTCATTTGGTTTCCTTACAGCTGCTCCCACAGGGCTACATGCTTCATTAAATAACTACTGAACAAAACAGCAAAGCAACAACAGATTGCTGAACAATAAATAATTTTTTTTTTTTTAAGTAATATATTTGAATCTCACAACAAAGTCACAGCTCACAAGGACTGAAATAAAATAAAAATCATAAAGTAAGAAAGCTGTCATAAACCAGATGTGTTCACCGGTGCAAACAGCTGTAGTGACTAAATATATGTGAACAGAGACGTCCAGGGCGGAGACGTTTGGGATTCAGAAGCTGGTGTGGACTCCAAGTTTTACAATGATCCATTACTTTTTAATTTGATTTTGTTGCATCGAATCATAAACGCAATAAACAGAATGTAACTAAAATAAATTAAATTTTAGAAATTATTTTCTTGCATATGCTTCTGTGAAACAATAAAAAAAAGGCATACGTCTCCTATTTAACACAAATATTATTCTGACATCTTTGAAGTGCCAAATCTTGACACCATTTTATTTGTATTTATCTTGTTTTGATGCCTGATTTAATGACAAAGTTCTTGAACGTGGAAACATCTAGACACCAAAGAAACTGAAATTCTTGGAGTGGACAACGGCAGAACGTTCAGGTTCAACAGATGACAGAGCGACTCACAGCAGTGATGCCGGCTCATTTGTTGAGGAGGAACAAGCACTTGTTTTATGACAGTGGAGCGATGTCATCCGCGGTGCCACAGCCGACAGCACAAACTTATTTTGCAGGCGAACGGCCGAAGCAGGTGGACGCCTCAGTGTGTGGTTGTAATCCTCCACCACGGCGCTGCACTCGCACACGTTCGGCTTGCCTTCAGCAGTTTCACTAAAAACATTTGTCTCTCCACTCACTGTTGAATTTACTATTTTTACTGTCAACTTTTCTTTTCTGCAGCTTGTGAATGACATGGTGTTGCCGTGTTTTCCAACTGCTCTCGTTAGCGAGCGCTACAAGCTACAACCAGGTCACCAGTCGGAGGGTCGTCAGGAATACTGAATGCTGATTGGCTGCTCCAACTCATCAGAGACCGTCTATAAGACGAACGCCTCTCCGATGAAAATGTTCCTCATTTCAGATTTTGTTGTTATTCTGCTGTTTTTTCTGATTTCAAATCTATTTTTATATTAAACAAAGTCAGACTGAGCTGTCGTAGATCATTCTATAGAAAAGCATCGCCTCTTGTCATTTCTACATATTTTAAGGTTTATTTCATGTTTTGTTTTTGAACTAATTGTTGGACTGAAGTCACCTGCGCGGGCCACCAGTTGACTAGCCCTGCATTAGGGTCTTTTTTTTATCTCACAAGAGAAGTTTTGGCCACATGCATGAAGGTTTGAATTAAATGACTTTGTATTGAGCTTAATGCTCCATCTACTTAAATAAATGAATATTACTTGTTAAAACTTTACAATCCAGTCATTCATTCAACCTTTATTTATACAGGTTAACCCCACCGAGCCTCGGAGACTCATTTACAAGAGACCTGACCTGACCTGACCTGACAGCCACTCGATGTGATGATTAGAATGAAGCAGGAAAGTGTCTTTCAGAAACGGCGTCAGTGAAAATAAAAACCCAAATACTGTCGTGCAGCCTAAATAACTGTGGAGTAGGAGGCTGGAGTCGTTTCCCAACATCAACACGGGTGTTCAGTGGTTTAAATGTTGGTGAACGCAGACTGTTTAAACTCTGATCACTGGTCGGTTTTGCACATTCACATGAGCTGATATGAAAACTGGTCCTGAAGGAAACTCCACGTCACATCAGGAAGTTAGTGAAGATTAAATCCACTCAGCAGGTGGTGGCTCTAACAGGCTGGTTATGAAATGACATCAGCTCTCACCAAGAAGAGCCTCCAGACTTCTGCCCAAACTTCTGTAGATTTACAGCAGAAAAAGACTCGTCGCAGCATTTATAGTTTATTTATAATCATATTAAGCTGCTATACATGCATATCTGCTGCACACGTTGAACCTTATTGTTATGGTTGTAAAAAGCTGAGAGCATTTTTTATTTCTATCTTTCAACAATCACAAGCTTATGGATGAGTTTATCTTTATTTGTGCAGCAAAGTGAAATTTTATTTTGCTCTTTGTTCTGAAACAAAAAGCACGGATTAGTAAAGTAAAGACAAAACGCCACAACTGACATTTTTGGCAAAATGAGAAAGTTTTTTAAAAGAATTATGTAACTAAACATAAACATGAAGCTGAAACTAATGCAGTGATAGTTGCACCCTATAAATTATTAGAAATGTGTGAATTCAAACTTTGACTTTATGAATAAAATGACCTACTGAGAATACATGTGTGAAGTTGGAAGGCTGAGGTTTGTGAGGTTTATGTGAATATGAGGGTGTGGCTGGATCTTCTGCAACATCTGTGGACTACGATGATGACGTGCACGGAAACGTAGCTAGCAGCAACTTGAACTGGTGGTTCCCAGTACCTGCTTGAGAGCTTTCTTGCTGTGTTTCTGGGAGGGAGAGATGAGTTTGCTGGTGGAGACGGGAGGCGAGGAGCACTGCGGCTGCGGAGACGACGGTTGTGGCTGCAGCTTGGAGGGAACTACGAGCAGAACAGATGTTACAACAGATGTTACAACGAGCACTTCCTGAGGGGAGTGAGCGAACAGTCACATGTTGCTGTTGTTTGGATGAAACTGAAACCAACATGGTGCACAAAGAAACAGATTACATGGCCCGACCACAACATCATGTTACAAAATGTGGGCTGGACAACTAGAGAGGAATGTGGCTAAGCTTTGTTTATTGTTGTTTATTGAGCATGCATCAGGATACTAAGCTTTGTTTATTGTTGTTTATTGAGCATGCATCAGGATACTAAGCTTTGTTTATTGTTCTTATAACGAGAAAAACTGAATTTCCTTCGACAACGCAGTGTGGATGCTAACTGCAGAAGAACTTGCTGAAAAACTGCTGAAAGTAAGTTTAAAAAACATGCTGAAATGGAAGAACAAGCCTACGTTAGCAGAAGAACAAACACATATTTGCTGAATTAGATTTAAATAATAAGAAATAAGAACAAAAATCAGAAATTTAAGCTGAATTTAGCAACAAAAAAAGTAGCTGAAAAGGCAGAAAGAAGCTTAAGCTACCCGAAGGAAGTGGAAAGAGCTGAAATGAGCTAAAAAAATGTGGATTTAGGCTTAAAAAGCTAAAATTAACATAAAAACAGCTAAATAGTATCTAACATAGCAGAAAAGGCTGAACCTTGCAGAAATAATCTGAAAGGAGTGTAACAAGCTGAAATTATCAGAAAGAAGTTAGAAGAAACACAAAAATGTTGTAGTTAGCAGAAAGAATCAGAAAGGAGCACAAAACAGCTGAAAGTAGCTGGAAAAAAGCTAAAATTAGCAGAAGGAAGCTGAAAGAAGCTGAAGCAGAACAAAATGTGAAAGGAGCAGTAAAATGTTGTAAACACGTCTAAAGATGTGAAGGATGGAAAATGAGCTCAATTCATTTTCCATGAGAGGAAAATGGCAGAAAAGGCTAAATGTTTCAAAAAGCTAAAGTTGCACCAACACCTAAAGTCACAGCAGGATTGTCCTGAAAGAGCCGAACGTTTTATGATTTGTTGAAATAGCTCAAAAACTGCTGGACGAGAAAGATGCAGAAAAATGTACGGAATAGTTGAAGGTAACTAGAAGAATATGGAACAATAGTTCAAGACAAGCTGCCACAGCTGACATTACTAAATACAAATAATACTTTAATATAATCGAGTTTTACTGATAGAGAACTAACATTTGATGTAGAAGTAGCTGACGGTCCTTCACAACACACACTCCAAGCCTGATCACATCACAGGATATTGTGCATGAAGTTATTTTCAAGACCGAACCAAAAAGGAAACGAGTCATCGTGATAAATGTGACACGACATCGTTTCATATTCTAACAGGACTTTGTTGTGTTTTTATATTGATCAGCTCAAAAGTCAAACACTAGTTCTCGGACTCGGCTGTAATCAAAGGTTACTACGTTCTTGGTGGTTTCAAACGAGCGCAGAATAAGGAAGTGGTCACGGGTCGTACTGAGAAAATTCAGTTTCCTGTCACATTAACTTCAAGTGTTCCACCGGCAGAAAAACAACATTAAAAACAATTTAACAACAAAATTAATTCTCCACGGTTGCTCTGCATCAGATAAAATACCAAAGCAGCAACAACTTGAGTCAGCAGACAAACCTGCAGTGACTGCTTGCAGTCAAGTGACTGGAGGTTTCACGCATGTTTCAGTAAAACCCACCTCTTCCCATCGTGTTGCTCAGTAAAATCCAGAAAACACACGGGGCGGTTTAACGTGGTGGAGCCAGGCTCTCGGAGCTCGCCTCACCTGCAGCTGGCTTCCTGCGTCTTTTACAACAACAGCTGAAAAGGGGCGTCGGCGGTCACGACAGAGACGTAACCAATCAGCCAACATCTGTACATTCAGAGTTCTGTGGCAATAATCTGTATTATTTGAGCTTAATCTGCCGGGATTGACTCGTTTCCCGCTAGACTTTCTCCTTCCTTGACAACTGCAACAACAAAAAGATCTTATTCTTCAATGAACTGAAGTTAAAACTGAAGTGGATTTATTTGGTATTTAAAACAGATTTTAGTCTTTTCTATTTATCAGGTTTGTTTAAGAAAAAAAACTTGACATGAAAATTATTTAGTGAACGGAGCTTGACAATCCTGGTGGACTCACCCGAGTCCAAACTCTCCAATAAAACGTCACTTTTTATTATTTAGCATCATCGAGCTGCAACATAAACAAGCAGGACGCCGATGCCCCCCCCCCCCTTTTTATTTTCCTGCAGTGAAACTGAACGGGGGTGTCAGTAAATCTAAATATTCTGATGCAAGATATTCCAGTGGGAGGAGTTAAACTGTGGAGAAGAACAGAGTTTTTTCGTTCTTTGTTCTGCGCAGAGTGACGAATACTGGACGAAAGCGACCATCTTGGATTCTGACGTGGAAACCCAGTATTCCAAAAGAAACTTTCTTACGTCTAGATGTGGCCACACATCAAACTGGAAGTCAGAACCTCACTTGTTTTTCAAGGTATTTACAACGTGCACGCACAGATGGAGGGTGTGTGTTCAATTCCCTCTTGTTGCTCAATTAAAGGCGATCTCAAGCGGTTAGAAGACGCCACACTCCAGAGGTGCGGATGGCTTTCAGATCAGATTGCATCAAATTTTAACTCAACATCATGTTAATGAATTAGTCATCATTTAACATGTTCTATGCACAGAAGTGAATAAAAGGTTTTTTGTAGCGAACTCTGTGCATGCAAATGGGAAAAAAAGCAACAAACATTATAAACATTATAAATTATGAATTTTGCCAACAGACAGAACGGCGACGTCAAACAGCCGGATCTTGCAGAATTTGTTGAACCACAGTTTCTGCTACGACCACATCAAACTTTAGGTGAATGTGAACTGACGGAGTTAGAGCCATTTCTTTTGTTGACATGATCAGCTGGCCGGGGCAGCCATTTGGAAATGAGTCAAGTCCAAAAGTTATCATGTAAATGTACAGTCAGTAACAGCTGCGAGTTTTATTAAAACGTGTCTCGTGATTCATGAGATATTTTGCTAACAGACAGGTACACACACAAAGACATAGGCAGAAACATCATCCACTGGGGGGGTGGTGCGATACCTCGTCGCAGCCACCTTCCTGTCCGGCCCTCTTCAGAGACGGAAGTCTTCTCTGTGCTCCTGGAGTCCGACAGATTATCGCTGCTTTCATCCGAGAGCTCCTCGGACATCCTCACGTCTGAGCTGTCCTTCTGTGTGGATCGAATCAAACTGAACTTTAATTTTCAGGCAGCAGACCAAACACAGAACATGAAAATAGATCTTCTGACAGCTTGAAGTATTTTATTACACACGCGCCCCTCCAGAGAGTTTACATACGTCCACTAATCCTCATTTGTCTGAAAACATTTACTACCGTAATCTAAATATCTGGTTCAACGTACATCTCCTCTGACAAGATCATTAAAAAGAGCGACGATTGTCCGTTCAGTGCCTTTTTATTTCCATCTCTCTACAACGAAGTCTGAAAGGTGGAAGGAAGGTGTTTTGTGTCCGGCTAACCTTTAACGTGTAAACTCCCATTCTGCCGGGAACTTTGTAAAAAATGCCCTCTTCACCTCGAGAGTTTGTGTGCAGCATGGCGTTCAGGCACGCCAGAGGAGAGGTTCCACTGGTTTACAAGAAAAAACAAGAAAAACTCCAGTTACACGGCTGCTCCACTACAAATAAGAAGCACAAAGAGATTCACGAAGGGTAGAGACGGCTCAGCACGTGGTCCAGAAAGACGAATTAACAAATTCTGTTTATTCTTGAACTCTGGATCTGAGAGAGGAAACTTTTATCGAGTTAACTGGTCTAACACAAAAATGATGTGTAACCAAAAAAAGTCCATGTTCAATCAAACGTCACATAAATTAAGCAAAGATTTCACTTAAATTCTCTTGTTCAATCTGTATTTTTGCTACTTTCACATCATAACAGTCTGTTGAGCAAAATGTTAAATAAAAACAGTGAGTTAGAAACAGATCCAATGTTAAGTTGCTTTAATACTTTACCGTTTTATGATTACATATCACACGTAAAACACCAGAATAATGAGATTACTGGAAAATAAACCATATTAGTCTGGTGTCGGACTAAAACTAAACGTGAATCAAACACGGCGTTTTGTGTTTCACAGATTAATCTAGTGCACGTTACTGTTAATAACATGCAAGAGCTACAAAAAGTGGAAATGCAGTGACGGTGTTAAAATAATGTGGTGGGGGGCTAGCCTTGTTCTTACCTTCTGGATGAGAACAGTGACAATGAAACAAAAAGACATTAAACGGTTATTAAACGAGTAAAATAACTGGAACTAAAAACAGAAAGGAATTAAGGGACACAGCTGCTTCTGCTGGAGTTGTTGCGTCACGGAGCCAGAAACATGTTTACCTGATTTCTTTAAGCCTTTCTCTTTGGATCACTTGTAAGATTTCTTTATGGCTCATGGGTGTATTGGGGTATTTTTCCAATACCTAAAACAAAAAAATAAAACATTACTTCAACTGCAGCAAAGGTCCTTCACAAACAATAATCTCCACAAGAGCTTCAATCCAATAAATGTTTTAAATGTCACATTTGGTGCCTAAAATCACTGCTAAGTTTTCAACTTTCATTTACGTGACTTCAATTTTATTTTAATAAGCTTCAGCCAAAATGAGGACATGGAAGTTTAAGATATCGGTAAAAAATATTATGTGCTAATTTTCTCTGCAAGTGTTTTGACTTGTGACAAGATTACTTGTTTATAGTCGTAGCTCTTGTACAGAAATGGTGATTTCTCTAAAAATTTGCACCAAAATCATTAAAACTTTAGAGTATTTATGATTTAAAATGAGTAAAAAACTTGTTAAAGTTGAACTAGCATTATGATGTTCCTGGCTTAGACGTTACCCTGGGCTCCTTTGTGACTTTGCAGACTATTCCACGCCTTGCTCTTGGAGTGATCTTTGTTGGTCCACCACTCCTGGGGAGGGTAGCGATGGTCTTGAATGTCCTCCATTTGTACACAATCTGTCCAACTCTGGATGGTGGAGTCCAAACTAGGGACGCATGATATTATCGGCACAGTATCGGTATCAGCCGATATCAGCGATAAAGTTAAATATCAGACATCGGCCATTCCATCAAAATAACTCGCCGATATAAAATATTTCTGTTTTAAGTTAATTTTTAATTTCATAAACTGTCAAGTATATCTATTAATGCACTACTACTTAGGCAACGCAGCTGCACTGTCACTTGTGAACAGGTTGAGTTTAGATTTGTGAAAATTTACAAATTTGCACTGTTCGAGTGATGTCACTGTGTTAGAGTAAATGTCATGAATACATTTGACATTAAAGTTTAATCCAAGTTGAAGTGCTGCATCATTTTTAGCCCCCATTTTGGCATCTGCATTTGGTAGCAGGCCAAATTGACCAAGACCATGCAGAACAATGTAGCACTTTAATTCCACAGCAGAGGAAGCTCTGTAGTCTCTGTAAGTAATCTAGGAACAACATATCGGTCAAATAAGTTTTAATATATCGGCCAAAAATCCAATATAGTGCATCTCTAGTCCAAACTCTTTAGAGATGGTTTGTAATCTTTTCCAGCCTGATGAGCATCAACAACTCTTTTTCTGAGCTCCTCAGAAATCTCCTTTGATCCACTTCCACCAACATGTTGTGAAGAGCAGACTTTGACAGATCCTGTTCTTGAAATCAAACAGGGTGCCCGCACACACCTGACCATCATCACTGATTGAACACACCTGACTCTAATTTCACCTTCAGATTAATGATAATCCTAGAGGTTCACATACTTTTAACCACTCACTAATATGTAATATTGTTTCATTTTCCTCAATAAATAAATGACCAAGTGTAATATGTTTGTCTCATTTCTTTAACTGGGTTCTCTTTATCTACTTTTAGGACTTGTGTGAAAATCTGATGATGTTTTAGGTCATACTTATGCAGAAATATAAAAAATTATAAAGAGTTAACAAACTTTCAAGCACCACTGTTTGTGTGTGTGATGTAAATACACTAAATCAGACAATATTTTAGTTAATTTTTATGCAGACTTCTGGGTTTTTCTTTTTTGGAATTGATAAGTATTTTGTACATCTAGTCATTGAAGTTGCCTTTAATGTCAACTGCATTATTACTTAAACTACTTAATGCAGAGAACCAAGTAAAATACATTCGTAAATAAAATGCAAAATGTCCCTAAAGTCATTAGAACATGCTTTAAATATGATAAAACTGTAACAACCATGAGTTTCAAGTGTGTTGTATTAGCATGCTATGCTAGTAAAGCTAGCTCGAATGCTAGAACAGTCTGTTGATGACGTGCTATAAATTATCTTTGACACCAGCAAGTGTTTAAAATCTGTATAAAGAGAAGTATTGGAGTGTGAACAGTGTAGATGTTACTGCTGATTAACGTAAAACAAACTTATTGTCGGAGTTAGCCTGTGCTAGCCTCCGCTAACGCAGCACTGACGTGATGAACTCGCGTGAAGTGACAGAACGTGTCATGAGTGAAGTCTGCTGAAAACACGGAGAATGGACGCCGAGACATGTTTCCGTGCACAGAGCAGACACGGGCACACATGCATTTTTACACACTGCTAGATGAATGCTGCACGGCTAGTAGGGACAGCAGTGCGAAACGTCAACACGGGCCTTGCGCCGTGAACGCAGCATTTCCTCTTCGCCAGCAGGTCGTGAACTCATCAGCAGGAACAAGTGGGAGCGTTCAGGGAAAACAACCGCAACAAACGGCGGTAAAAGCGCAGCGTACCGTTTTAGCGGCTTCCGCCCACGTCCTCCCCTTCTTTTTCTTCTGCCTCTCCCTCATGGCGCACGTCCTCTTGCGCAGTAGTGTTTTAATTTGAAAGTCTCAGTTGTTGTGTTGCTTTAGTTAGCGTCTAACACCCACACCGTCTACCATGTTGGATTTACTGTAAGGAGTCACGTGACCGTGCGTACGTCATTACTGTACGTCGCCCTCGAGCTTCACGTTGTCTGCTGCTGTGATCAATAAAGCTTATTAAAAAAGTGTTTGTCTGTTGCTCCTGTACTTATTAAGTAAATATTCCTGCATACTTTCTACTGTGTTAACCAGTAAAATGTGAAAACGTTCCGCTCTTTCAGGATATGATCCATTTTTATTTGTAACTTTTTTATTTTCAAACTTTTTACTCTTATTTACCACTATTTCCCCACTGAAATAGGTTACAATTTACAAATAGGTAAAAAACTTTCTTCTTTCAGCTGCTCTCTTCTTCAGGGGTCGCCACATTGCACGAAGACTTTAGTTTTTACACCAGATGTCCTTTGACCCAACACAGACGCCGAGCTACCACAGCCTCTGTGTGGAGCAGAGAGCTGCATCTAGGGCGCCCAGGGGAGCAGATGGTGGGGGTTAAGGGCCTTGCTCAAGGGCCCTGAGTGGGGCAGATTAGGGAGGAAGGTGTGGGTACTCCACCCTTCACACCCACATTTTGATGTTGTCAGTGACTGTATCCATTTGCAAGGGGAGCTGTGCGGTAGGCCATGAGAGTGAGATAAGGATCTGTGGATTTCTTGAGAAGATTTGTTACAGTCCTAACAGCTCTCTCAGCCTCTTTGTGGAAAGAGTGGACTCCATGTCCCACGTCTGAAGTACTGTGCAAACTGTCAGAACGACTCTGAATCAAACTGTGGGCCGTTGTCAGACCGCACCTCTTCTGGTATGCCGTGCAAAAAATTACTTGAACTGCACAATCACAGCTTCTGAAGTGGGGGAGGTCAGTGTTGCAACTTCAAAAGTATCTTGTAAAGTAGTCCACGACTATGAGATATTGTTTAGTCTCAAACTAGAACAAATCAGCACCTACGATGGACCAGTCTTTCAGGAAGTTCAGTAGGCAACAAAGTCTCTGATGATTGTTCTGTTGCATGCACAAATGTCACACTTCTCTACTATTTGTGCCAGCTCTTTGCTAAGTCCTGGCCACCAAACTGACTGCTTAGCTCCCTCCCTACACTTTATCCCAACTGGCCCTCATGCAGCTTGCAGAGAATGTCTGCTCTCAGTGATGCTGGAATCACTACTCTGCTCCATACAGCAGTAGACCATTTTGAACTGTGAGCTCACCTGGTTGAAATGCTCTTCCAACAGAGAATTAATCTGCTCATCCTTCTGTGCAGAACATTTTTAGCTGCGGGAGAATGGGTTCATGTTCTTGATGGGTTTAGATTTCTTTCAGTCTTTTGTCTGTGGCTGGTAAACTTGCAATGACTAAATCCACATACAGATTTGTTTATTCCTCAAACTGTTGTTCTCACAGGGGCTCTGGACAGTACATCTGCAATCGCTCTCTCTTTACATGAGAGATAGTGAAGGAAAACCTCATCAACCTGATATGCAGCAGTCGTATGCATGGATGTGGTTCTTCCAGTCCCTTTGAGCCTGGCAGTGGAACTAAAGGTTTGTGATCGGTCTTAATATGGAAACTTTTCCTTAGAAACTTTGCAAATCTCTCAGGCAAGTGTTTCTTTTTCCGTTTGGGTATGTCGCTGTTCTGTACTGCTGAGAAATCTCAAAGCACATGCTACCAATTTCCATTTTGTGTCTGTTTGCCACTGGAGAAGTAGCACGCATCCCACTTCTGACACCATGTTCTGTTATTGTATAAACCTACAGTGTTAGTTTATACAGTACATCATGTAATGACATGAAGAGCAAAGACTTCCATCCAGGTTCGTTCGCCTCTTTTTATTAACTCTCAGCATCAACGCAGAACCCCTCAAAAGTTCCTACTCTGATACATTACACATGTTTTGTTGATTTTAATTTTTAGATAGCATTTACCTACTTTTACTTTCTGGATAGTGTTTTGCTACATTTCTTGTTTAGCTAGAGTTTTTCTACTTTCAGGTAGTTTTTTCTATTTCCAGCCTTTATATAAACTTGTAGTAGCAGCAGCAATAATGATAATAATAATAATAATGATAATGATAATAATAATAATAATTGAAAAAATGCATTTGATTTAAAATGCAACTATCTGGACACTCATGGACAACTAAAAATAGAAAACAAATAACTTATAAAAAAAACCAATGTAATCAAAAAATAAAATAAAAAGTGCACCAGTGAAAATTAAGAATAGGCCTGCGACCCAAAAAGAAGAAGTGGATAATGATTACGTATGTATGCATGCATGCATGCATGTATGTATGTATGTATGCATGCATGCATGTATGCATGTATGTATG